ATAGCATGGCATGGACGCTGGCATCTTGGCCTGATTTCTGCTGTGTTCTTGGGTTTCTCGTTCATCCCTGCTGCGTTGTGGTCTGGTGCTCTGACTCCTGTTGTTGCCGAAAAACAGGTCTGGCGTACGATCGACATTCCGACTTTCGTGTCTGGCAACTACTCCGAAGTCGACATGTTCAAAGCCGGGAACAACACTGCTTCTCAGAGGATCGACGGTTATGGGACGAGCCCCGTTTGGATTACAAGTGAGGGCTTATTCACTTTTGACTTGTCTCTTTCCAGCGTCAGTGGTACTTTCCAGGGTCTGGCGAGCGCATCTTCGAATGCCTCCCACACAGACGGCTTCCGCCCCAAATTCGACTCCTCGGGATATCGATTCGATGGTCGAAGCCATGGTGCTGGAGCCTCTGCTGGCCTAATCAGCATTCCCAACACCTCCGCCCCAGCCTGGTATGAATACTACGAAGTGGGACTCAAGACCAACACCACATGCATGCGCAATGAATCTGCGGATTTCTCAATCGCGTACGCCCAGTCCGATGACAAACACTTTCGCCACGAATTTACGTCCAATGGGACATTTGCGAACGGGGTCCGTGTCCCAACTCACTACCCTATGCTCGCGCCGCAACGACAGGACATATTCATATGGGCTGTAGGACATGCCGCGCCGCATATGCCCGCGGCAAACAAAACCTTAGTGTCGCTGGCCGCTGACCCCACTACCAAAGAAGATGTCTGGGACTTCCACCAATTCAACAACATCCAATGCGAAGTCACATTCCTTGCCACCAACTTCTCCGTCACAGTCAACGTGACGGGCAAAACCGTCAAAGTCTCCGACAACGGCCGGGTGCCCACCCCAGCCTGGGCAAACGTCGTCCTCCAACACCTCGACGACCCATTCAGCCGCTACTCCGGAAACGACCGCATCGTCTTCGGCTCGCAGCTAGGCCACTCCATCGTGCTCAACATCAACCAGCTGCGCATGCTGCCGGAATTCAAAGACGACAAAAGCGACCGCACGCTCTTCCAGGGACTCAAAGACTACATCGAGTCGCTCTTCGACAACGGCGTAGGCATGCTCTCTGCGACGCGGCTGGTTGGGGCGAATCAAACCGTCGAAGTCCCCGCGCTTGTAGGGATACCGGCCGTCACCTACGGCAGACCCGCTTTTGTGTACGTGCTGCTTGGGATTAATTGTATCGTGTTATTGGTGTTTCTCGTCGAAGCTACGCGAACTCGCTTTTGGAGAAGTATGGCTAGTCTTTACCTCGGGGACGTGGGGGGTGTTATTGCGGCGGCGTCGCAGGGGGGCGATGCGTTGGCTGTGAAAGCTAGCGGGAGGAGCAAGGGGGATATCGGCGAGATCACGGTTCGATTGGTTAGGATGGGGGATGGTGATAGGGAGGCGATTGTGCTGCCGGAGATGGCGGGCAGGGTGGGAGACGAGGGTAGCATCCGCGGATCTAGCGATACCGTGCGTTTGATCTCGTTACCGGCGCGGACGTATCGCGATGCATGATTTAGCAGTAGGGAAAATGGTTTAGCAGTGTTGAAATATATATCGCATTCCCTGAGGTAACATGCTGGACTCGGACTCTTGTCCTGGTGCTGTACAACACATGGCTTCGAAGAGGACTAGAATTAAAGTCACCAGCACACGTCGACCAGTCCAGATGCCTTATTGCAGAGAAATCCAAGCCATTAGCCGGACCCTATAACTGTAGGGCGTAACCTTATGTTCTATAGTCCCTCCTGCATGGAATATAAATACTCGGTAGCTTCCTCCGGTGACATCTTGTGGCGCGCATTCAGCTTCGATAGCACTTGCAAGTTTCAGAAGCAGAGTTTGTAGACGGTGAGGGCTTACGCTTATCTGTTACGGTTGCTACATATTGATAGCCATGTGTGTAAGGAAGCCGCCTCTTCACGCTTGGTGTCGTGGCATCTAGGGTCCTGAAATATATCTACATCTCAATTAAGTACATCTCCCACTTCGAAATCCAACTCGGAGGACGCGATCGGCTTTCTGACTCGCTGCAGAGGGTTGTTTTGGGCAGAAACGCCGATGGCGACGTCACATGAAGCCTGCCCTTGCTATCGTATATCGATCTGCCCGGTCTGATGAGCTGCGTCCACGCAAGCCCGATGCGTAGGCTGAGGACGTGTTAGCTATCTTGAAACATAATGCGAGATATGGGAAGAAGAACCACCTACAAGCGAGACCGAAGGAGCTCTGGACAGCACTTGCCAAGGCTCGCAGCAAGAGCGAGACGAGGACCACGGTGGTGCACATAGTTCTACCGTGGCCTTCGACATCGACGCTGGTCATAGCTCAGATATTGAGCACACGGAGAACATGCCGTCTGAGCAGGAGAGTTCTGCCGATTTATGTTGACTCGGCCGGTCTTTTCCCCAGACAGAGGACACTCACCCGTGGCCTAACATTCGACCGAAGCCTTTGAACCTTAATAAATATATCGGGACACTACTTTGTAGTTTGAGACAACAATCAGAAAACCATAATAAATATATAAACTGGTTCGACACTCTTTAAATATAACTTTAACATGACAAACCAATCTGTGCACCGATTCAGTAACTGAAACTGGAACCTTCCACCTTTGTTGATCAGCGAAACCGGTGAGAGGGGAAAGTTGCCCCACATACTTGACGCACTTACCCGCGCCGTACACGAGATCACGTGGGATAAGTAAACAAATAGTTGACCGCAAGTTACCCTCCGCACGCGTATTACCTGTTAGTCATGACGAAAACGCCTCCTCCTCTTGTTGAGAACTTATAAGGAAGGTCTTGGGTAAGTATAGTAACCGCACCTCAGAAGTTTTTAGACTAACGCTAATGAGAGCAAACTGGAGGACGCCCGCTTGCCAAACACCAGACGTACCTTTCACCGGGCTATTGCACTACTTACCTTAGCGCTACCTGATTTGAGTGTTCGATAACATCCAAGATGAGCTTTATCGCAAAGAATCTCGCGGACTTGCCGGCTGCCGTTGGCGCACAGAACATAGCTCATCTCCCCGCTCTTGAAAACTTAGAGGTGATGCCACAGAACGAGGATGTGGATGCGTTTCATTACAGGATTCTTTACGGCGTGGGAAAAGTATCCACCATGCCACTGGAGCTCGGCAACGTCTGGATCTATCTGGTCCCATACGCAAACCGGCCTCACGAGCTGTAGTTCGTCGTCTACCCCAACAACGATGTAAACAACAGTTCCCGTGTTTTTTACGGTCAATATGTGGGGCGCATCGTAAAAGAGCACCTTGGGCCGTCAATCGCCTTCGGTAATGTCGCCATAGACCGTAGGATCCAAGCCTTGGCTAAGTACTACTTTCTTGCTATGATGCATCATCGGGGCTACGAGGATAAAGAGCTGAAGGCTCCCTTCAACATCTGCAAAACTTTGGTGGAGGATCTCAAAGTTATTTGCTTGGACTTCGCACGTCAGCCGAAGGCAATTAAACTCCGAAAGGAATACATGAACATTCAAGAGGGTCCTCCGGTTGCGGGTCCAGACTCAGAGCGGAGCTGCAACACAGCAAGGTCGGATCGCAGGTACGCGACACTACCCATCAACAAGCATCAAGACTAACAAAATAGAAGGACCAGGGCGAGTTGCCAACCACATGCCCAACACGCAAGATGACCCATTGCCATCCCTTGGGGAGCCGTCATCCGGGCTTCTGAACAACATTGGTGAAGAAGAGCTCAATATACCGAATGCAGTTACCAATCACATGCCCAATACGGAAGATGACATTGCTAACCCTCGGGGAGCCATCAGCCGGGCTTCTGGACAACACTGGCGAAGCATAACTCAACATACCGAACGCAGTCGGTCCGAAGGTCAATACTTGTGAGCCTTCAAAGTATAGCGTGCTGATAGACTGTAGATTACCGGTAGTACGACTGCCACGAGTCCTCAGCGGGTCACGCCGGAAAATGACAAGGTCAGGGGCACTCGTGCAACTTGAACGTCAGTCCACGACATCACCATCACCCGCGCCCTCTCTGATCTCCGTGACCGCATCTTCGATCACGATGGCAGCGACTCCAGTCGTCCAACGTACCCGCGAACAGGATATAGTCCATTTCAACTGGATTCACACGAGAGAGCTAGCGCTTAGCTAGGAGAAGCGTGCAGTGCTTAAGAAGAAGACGGATAAATTGGAAGCCATAAAAAAGCTCTAGGGCGAGCTCATTGTTCTGGAAAATGAGGACGATAACTTAGGCACCGCCTGTGAGGAGATCAGGATCAGGAAGCGCGAACTTTTCAGTGACATGACTCATAAAGAACAACTTGAGTTCATGTATGAGGCCGGTAAGGCCGCAGGCAAGCGTGCAAGGGTGGATTAACCCCGTCCTGCCAGTTCGGGACTGCACTACGTTAGGACGTTGCAGCCTGTAACGATGGACAAGGAATGAATCACTACGTATTATCAATACTCTAGTGCACTATCGCCTTGGAGTGTCTACGTGATGCTGCGAAATGATGATGTGCGAGATGCCGCTGTATTGGAGGCGGGTGCGGCATAACATCGTGAAACGAAGCTGCTTCTAGGCCCTCCTAATGCGATATCAGCACACTGACCTACCTCAACGCTATCTCACTGCATCCATAGCGAAGCCTTAACTCAGTTCAGGATGAACGTGACGTATTGATGGTGCGGTAGTGCCTTGTAATCTGAAGTAGAAGAAACCTGAGCGGCGAAATTATTAGCCTTCACTGAATTAGCAATGTACAGTGCTGATGGTGCACTCCAGAGCTGTTACAGCGGGCTCCGTCATAGAAGACTTGCCAAACATACATTGTGTGATGCAAAAGTCAATCCTACTTTGCCCATCGTGCGGCAAAACGCAGTGCAAAAATTCGGCAGGGTGCCAAAATTTCTGCAGTAAATGTCCCGAGGACTACAAGAACGCAAAAAAGAAAGTTTCCCGAAGGGCCGCTCTTGGAGCGGACGATAGTGATGAGAGTGGGACTCGAACCCACGCCACATACGTGACCAGGAAGTAATGTTAAGATAAACCTTAACCTGGCGCCATAACCTGATGTCGTTAGTCGAGGAATGATGTAGGGAACTAGGTAGCACATACCAACTCGGCCATCTCACCGCGCATGATGTAGATCATGTGATTGATGTCGACAATTTGCAATTTCTTGTATATAGACCGCGAAAATGGGGAAAAGCTAAGGAGCTGCATTGAGATACGGCGTGCTTAGGTACCACACGATAACGATCCTGGAAGCCCACCAAGTACTATCTAAGTCTAGCTCATCCGAAGATCCCGGATGAGTGCGGCCCATTGACGTTTTCCTGTGTAACGATTTTGACTGATGACTGAACTAAACTACTTTTCCTCCGCAGTACCCCAAAAATGTACAGATGCAGGCGTGAGCTAGTATGATGGATGTATGCTACTACCAATGTTGCTTCTTGAACGTAGAAATGACATGGCTTGTTGGTGTGAAGATAACTTCGCCTATTCACTGTCGTCACAGATGCCCCGAAAACCCCCACGAATAAAACAAAACATCTCCCAGGCATTTCGCTTGCGCATTTCATCCCTAGCGAGTTCGTGAACAAGGCCCTCAAGATGAGTGGGGTACGGGTCAGCAATCCGAGGCTCTGAAGAAAACGGAGCACGTGATATTGCGGCATGGGCTTGAGCAAGTTTTAAACGAAGCCCCCGCCAACGTTATCGCTTGTGCGTGGAAGCGCTTCCAAGCCGCAAGTGCCCGGAATTTAGATGTTCCGATATTTCCCTGCTTGAGACGGGATGCCAATTGACGGATGCGATTGGTGGGCTGGTAATAGCGTCAAGTACAAGCTTTAACAAGCTTTGCAATCAGGGAAACAAGCTTCGATGAACCAATTGACGAACCATCACAAGCCACAGATGGCCCGAAAGATCCGGGGTCCCTGCCGGCCGACGTCACTAGCCACGCGCTGTACCAAGAATGCGGTCCGGAAGACCTGTGGCACCTTCTCTGCGTTCGTCATCCAGGCTTGTCTCGGGCTTCCAGAGCGGGACACGCTGGTCGAGATGATGTATAATCCAGCTCATCCAGAGGTACCCCTCTTTGCGCCCCCTAATCGTTCTTGTCGTGATTTCCCTACTTGTTTTTCTGGTTTGCTGATCATTTTCACTCGCAATGGCTACACATATCACAGATAAAATACTACGCTTCTGCAGGGAACCTAGCAGCGTCAGCAGTGAATACGCAAAGGATCCGACGAAACCCCCAGGTCACTATGCGGATCAGCTCTACGGAAAAGAGCCCACTGCTGTCACTGAGCAGCAACCACCTGCCCTAAGGACACCACCGTCCAAGGAAGATATCCTACGTGCGCGGCAATGCGGCAACTGGGGCAGTTCTAAACCTGGCGAGCTGTTTCTGCAATGCTTCCATGATGCGCTTTGCTCGCTCGAACATGATCCACTGGCAGGCATGGTGAGCCCAAGCTTGATGGGAAGCAACGGCATCATACCACTCACGATAATCGCCCCCTTGCCGGATATTTGTCGACACATGTCGAATGTCATCGCGCGTGCCGAACATGAAGTTTTCCTGGCGACAAACTACTGGATCACTTCAGACGCGTCGCGACTCATTACCGACTCGCTTCGGGAGCTTTCCAACAGGGCTGGAGTAAGAGGGCAAAAGATTGTGGTCAAGATCATGTATGACCGTGGTAACATCAAGCAAGTCAAGGAAAACCATCAGCCTGTTTCGGTCGAGGAGTACACCGGCGCGGCAATCCAGCTGCCTCATCCTTCCGAAGTACCCAATCTCGACATGCAGGTCCAAAACTACCACAGGCCACTGTTGGGGACGTTTCATTCTAAATTTATGATTGTGGATAGGAGGATTGCCATCGTCCAAAGTAACAATATCCAGGATAATGACAATCTAGAGATGATGACGCACCTGGAAGGCCCGATCGTCGACTCGTTATACGACACGGCGTTGATGGCCTGGCATACGACTATGACACCACCGCTTCCCCAGCTGCACTCACCCGCAGTGGCAGCGAGGGACGGCTCCTTCGAGAACCCAACTTTCCAGGCCATGTTCGATGGCTCAGAGAATACTCTGGGCCAGCGGAGGCAGGTTCTGCCTCTCCACGCGCCAGGTGACCCTCACTACGACCCAGATATAGCGTCTGAAGTGCGGAGGATGCAGGACGCGCTGACACCCTTGCCGGGAGAAACACGCATGGATGCCATCACGCGCCATCTCAACCTCGCCACGAAGCTTTCACAAACCGGCGGCGTTCCCGAAAACGCCCTCGACGAAGGCATGACACCCATGATCCCACACCGACCTCACCAGCCCTTCCCCATCGCCCTTGTCAACCGCAGACCATACGGCGCACCCACCCACCACGGCGTCAATGTCCCGCAGAACGAAGCCTGGCTCTCTGCAATCCGCAACGCCACAACCTCCGTCTTCATCCAGTCGCCCAACCTCAACGCCACCCCTCTGATACCAACGCTAAAAGACGCTCTGGAGCGCGGCATCCAAGTCACATACTACGTCTGTCTGGGCTACAACGATGCCGGCGAGCTGCTGCCGTTTCAGGGCGGCGTCAACGAAATGGTCGCAGACCGTCTCTACGACAGCCTCGACAAGGCGTCCAAGCAACGTCTGCACGTGCACTATTATGTCGCTAAAGACCAGATGGCGCCCATACACAATAGCTTTAAGACGCGGAGCTGCCATATTAAACTTTTGATCGCGGATGGCCGCGTCGGCATCCAGGGGAATGGGAACCAGGATACGCAGTCGTGGTTTCACTCGATGGAGGTGAATGTCATGATTGATTCGGAACAGATCTGCGGCGAGTGGAGGGATGCGATTGAGCGGAACCAGAGTACGTTTGCCCCCATTCTTTGTGAGACGGTTCACGCTGACGATGAAGACACGCACCAGTATGGGAAGGGGTCGCAAGTTGACGGTATATGGCGGGATGAACAGGGTAATGAAGCCGAGGGCGCTGTCGGGAAGGATGCAGGGAGATTTGCGTGGGCAAAGGGCGTGATTGGGGCTGTACAGAGGGTGCGTGGCGCGGGGGGTTTTTGAGGTTAGGCAAACGGCATTAGAGTTGCGGACCGCGTTTCTCAACAATGGTGTTATCTTTTCACGCCGTGACCTAATAGACAAACTTTTGAGCGACAATATGGCAAGCAGTGGGAATCTATATAGGTGCCATTTCGTCCATCGTAGGACTGTACTGATACTTCTACGCTTGCTTCGTACTACAACACTAAGACCAAGTCTGAGGACAATCGGCCTACGTATTGCACGTCTTGAAAACCATTCAACAGGAAAAAGCAAGCACCCAACAGAGAAGAGAAGATGTCCGTTGCACAGCCCAGCGAAGACAGGGCTTCAATAGCGCCCAGCATGATCCCCAGACCTGCCAAGAGAACAGCACAGATGACCCAAAGCTACATCAACTTGCAGAACACGCTTGGGGACGACTCCAAATATCTTGACTACATCCCTATCGACGATGTAGTCATCGAGACTCTGCGAAACGATGACATCCCAGTGGGAGACCGAAAGAAGAGCGACGAGTCCATCCTCAGGTACAAGATGAGGTTGGGCTCATGGAAGGACGAGGATGGCCAGAACAGCCCTCAAACAGTCTGGGCCTACCTGAATTTTACTCAAAAAGAAACCCTGCCTCATGTTCACTTCTTCAAAGAACGCAGGAGACTCCGACGCACGGAAAGGATCAAGCTTAGAGACGTCATTAAGAACACCCATCTGGATCATTTGGATGGGACGATGTATGATCGATCGTTAGTCAACTTTGTCATTGTATGCTTCATTCTGCAGTGTGTACCTTTTCGGGAGGAGTTGCAGTTCCCCGGAGACTTTAGGAAGTCGTTTAGGAACGCGATGAGAGCGCTGAGGAAAGAAAGTGTCGTTGGGCAGAAAGAGGATGTGGATACTTCCATCCGGTTGTCTGAGACGCAGATGGGCCCGGCGAAGAGGAACTCACCCTTCGACAATTGTACAATGGGGTCGAAAAGTAGAACCCGCTCAATTTGTAATTTGGACCGATACAGCATAGGCATCGGCAAAACTGGCTCGTCGTCGGGTGCGAGGCGGCGATCTGTCTTGTCGTCGGTCCCCCAGAGGCAGCCATGCAATGGCTCCTCGATACGAATGCGCAACGTTGACTTGGATGTAGCACACGTCCAAGGCATCGATGCGTTAGCTCAGAATGCAAGATCGCGTCATCGCTGTTCTGAGCCTTCAGATAATCCAAGCGAGCCACAATTTACGACACATGTTCAAGCGGGTTGGTCATCTCAGACCCAGCAGTCTCCCTTGGTCCCGATGCACAGCGAACCGACAACCAACACTGCAGCTACACCGAGCCCCGAACCGTATCCACAGAAGGTCAGTAACCCGCCTTTTTCATGTTCTCAAACTGCTAACAGCCGACAGATCACTCTAGCAGTCAACCAAGCTCTTCAGGACGCTCTGGAACCAGTCCGGTCGTTACTAAAGAAGAGGAAGGCTGACGAAGAAGAGCTCGTGTCGACAAGGAAAAAGAGGGTGACGGAGCAAGAGAAAAAAGACAAGATGCAGGAAGAAATTGCAGACTTGAAAGTTCAGGAGAGAGCACTGCAGCAGCAGCTGAATGGGGCGAGAAAAGAAACTGCTCGGAAAAGAGTCGAGCTGGAAAGAATCGAAAGCGATCTCCAAGCTCTGTGCGAGGCGCAGGGAGACATACAAAGTCGCGTGGAGCAAAGCCATGCTGATGAGATGGAGATGCTGACGGGCCTCGAATGGCTCAAAGAAAAGCCTTGCCGAGACTTACAGGACTTTGCGGGCTCCGGGATTGTTGGAGGCACATGTCGAAAAAAGGCAACGCATTGAAAGGAAACACACTGTTGCATTGATCAATGCTGGCAGCTGCAAATGAGCCGCCACATAAGGACAGGGAAGCACCTGGGCGATGACGTCGGCCCGTGGTTGCCCCGCAACACCAAACATGTAAACAAAAGCTTGACACATTTCTGCGCTCTCGCCCCACAACCATCGCGCATTCAAATCACTGTGCAGCACATCTTACCAGCCTTTCGCTCGA